CTTAGAATATTCTGCGTCGGCGACTAAAAAAGCATGAGGTCGTTCCTTCAACGAAGAAGTTGTACTACGTAAAGTCCATTCATGCTTCACGATTATGAATGGTTTGTTTCAACGGTCAGCTCATGCATGGTCGCATTTACGACGGTACCGACATTGCAATCCTTTTTGCTGATATTTACTAATTCCAACACACACGCACAGACACACACACACACACACACACACACACACACACACACACACACACACACACACACACACACACACACACACACACAAACAAATCTCTCGTTATATTCTCTGCTATGCATTATGATGATTAAAATCGTATTGTATTTTCTGTACATTCTATAATGTGGGGGTGATAAGGAAAAGTTAATATATGAGAGCTTCTAAGTGCCCGCAAAAATCTGCACGTCTCTCTCTTTCGTATCAAAGCCATCGCCAGTGCACAAATGATTATTTCTGATATCTTTCTTTTTAATCTTTTTTTTTCCCGCTAATGCACAACGTGGGCGAAAAAATATATAATCCCACGTTTTCAACATTTCCACATAACTTGATTACCTGCAATACTATATTTTTGTGTGATTTCTTATACGTTTTTTCTCATTTTCTCTGACCAAACTCAATTTTCATATATAAAATATTGATGGCAATGCCCATAATTAGTAACCGAAGATACACGGCAATAATGTTAAACCGGGGAATCAAAAGATACAATGAAGGTTGGTGAATTTCATTTCTAAATGCCGTACCTACAACTTTCTTGTTTCTTGTTTAACTAGATGTTGAAGGAATATGTGCAGTTGTCATGAAAGGGGACAAGCTGAGTATATTGTATATCAACTGAATCCCAGTGATATTTGTTTTTATTATCTGCTACTAAGCAGCTGTAACCTGGATAACACTGCCTTGTTTGTGTATAGTACAACCTACTAAAATGCATGAGCTGACTTGCGCCATATGAAAAGCTTTATGACAAGATAAGTGACTGCCGTTGAGGATGGTGATCTGGCACACCAGGACCTTCTAATCCTTGCTCTCACATGCACAAATCTCAAATAACAAAAGTTTGTGAACCTCTACACTCCGCCCTCTCGCATAAGTGACCCGGGCGACATGCACAGCAGCCGCAGCACCTTCCACAGACATCAGAGTGCGAGAGCCAACAAACCGACAGACCATTGGAAGATGCAGCCACGCATACCGTACCGTCAGTTTCTGATGGATCATCTCTTGGGATCGGAGCAGGCTAAAACCTCTGTGGTCCATATGGTGACCCAGATGCTACTGGGCATGCCTTTGATTAGCATATAACTTGCTTACGCGAAAACTGATGAAGTGAAGCCACCTCTCCCTCTCTCTTCCCTTCCTTTTCCCCTTTCTTTCCTTTTCCTTTTCTTCTTCTTAGTCCTCTCTGTTTTATTCCATATCTCTCTACTTTTGGACTAGCAAAATGACATTAACTAGATGTAATCTCATTTCATTAATAATACTGAAGCTTAAACACTTTTTTCATGAATTATTATTAGCCTTTACACCTCATTAACTTTAGCTATCACGCTGAAATTAAGTACTTCCTGTTAATTACCCTCCTTATCTTTATATCATTTCCTAATAATACATGTCCCATTCATCAGTGTTCCCGTTCCCTCCTTTCTTTGTAAATAACTGGGTTTTTGTGCTCTACTGATTACCAGATATCTTTTCTTCGTTAATCATGCAATCTTCTTATTTTGGGAATTATCAGCTTTTTGTATTTTTATCTCTCAACCCTTCTCTAGAATCTTTTACAAATTGTTAATAAAAACAACAGCTATAATATGTGTGCTTTCTAATGTTGCTGTTTTTTTAATTTCTATTACCCTGTACCTTATTCTAGTCATTGTCACTTTGTCATACTTTCCCTAATTATTGTTTAGAGTGTTCAGACGTTATGAGTTGCTTGAAGAAATTTCTCATAATTCTACACTAGTCTGCAATCCCTCTGTAACATATCCTATAGTATGTTACGCAACAGAGAGACAGTATCCAGCTTCATCTGAGTCATTCCCAATGGCATTCTCACGTGCGTACTCACCATATCTGTAGTTTGATTGGGACTCCATCGAGGTTGACTATCTTTTGTTTGAAGTCTATACCTGAAATAATAAAAAGAAAGTATTATGATGCTGTTGATCTCCAATTCAGTGAAGGAGACGATTTAGTTTTCTCTCAATAAAATGGATATGTAGAGACCTTATAAGTATTTAAAGGTTTTCGGCGCAATTTAAATATATCATTCTGTGATTCAGAAGGATTAGGTTATTCTGCTATTCACAGTAAGATAAAGGAAACAGTTAAAGTCCACAAAGTTTCAAACAAACTCGGGCTACAGTTACGTCATGACAACAGCTTATGATCAGAGAAGTGACATCAGAGAAAGGGAAAACCTAGTATATGCAACAAAGGGAGAGAAAAGAGTCCAACGGCAGTTACACCCCAAAAGGTATGGCAT